AATCCTACTTTTTCTGGCATTTATGCTTACTTGCCTGACACTTTCTCAACCCATTTTCTATTTCACATGCATTCTTGCTTAGTTTTAATTTTAGATCAATTCTGTTTCACTGGGAAATATTTTTAAAGTGTCATAGGCAAAGTGAGTTACTACTGTCTGGGGTAGAGAGGTTCACAAGACTTTTAAAAAAATTACATACATAAATTTTACAAAATAATGGATTTTGCCACCTTAATGCTCTTATTCAGATCTGCTACACATTTCCTAAAAATATACTTATAATGACATTACCATGCTCAACCAGTGTGCTAGCTAGAGTAAGAAGCATAGACACATGCTACCTAGGGTATAACAAAACAGTTCTTAAATCTATACACATGGGTTTTTGATGATCTAGTCACTTGTAAATCTTTTGGTTAGTGTTTTTAAAACAGAATATATGACAGCTAAAAAGCGTCTAAGTCTTTATTAATTTTAGATGTCATCAGGGGTCTTATTCAACTGTACTCCTCGATATCATCCATCCGTGCACACCCCAATATCTACTCACAAAGGCAACAACCCTACTGCTTTCATACAGATGCCAGGCAGATTGATTAGTTTAACTTGAATTAAATGAAATCATTTTATCAATTTATTTACTCTCATATTGTTTTTAGAAAGAAGTCAACAGAAAATAAAAGCCTGATTATTTTCCAACTTGGATAGTAAACATGAAGTATAATCCCTCCTATCTCCAGAAGCACTAATGCTCTAAGAGGATTTCCTAGCATGCTTTGGAAAACATTAACTTTAATAAATCATGTTAATGATGAAAGGTCACAGAAAAGTATCTGCTGTACTTTGCATTCCACTGTGGTTCACGTCAGAAGTCTAATAACATTTCCTGTTAAGAAATTTAAATCTCCTGTCATCATATGGAGAAGAGTATAAATGTGGCCAGATGTTTCACTTTTTTTCACAGAACAAATTTAGTTAAGCCTGAGATAGAAAAAGACTTTTCTAAATATCTCATCATGACAAAAGTAAATTAGGCTCAGACAAAACCTGAATCCTAAATTTCGGTTCTCAGTTAGGCAAACCATGATCATTAAGTTCAACCTCTCATGAAAAAGCACATGGAAGTCAGGCCCAGTGAGGCAAGCCGCGCCTGGGGATCTAGAGCTTCACTGCCAACCTGCCAACCCTGGCTGTGGTGTGCTATCTTAGCTTCAAATTAGAAAGTGCAGGGAGACAGGGAGACAGCCTCTAGCTCACAGGGTAAGATCACACTCAGAAACTCCCTAGTCTTGCCAAAGGCTCATTCTCCTCCGAGAAAGGAGTCTGACCCTTTCCAGTTCTTTGCACAACAGTCTGTGAGAACAAATAGAAAAAGCAGGTACCTTGATCAGAGAATTTGTGCTCAAGGGCATGGAGATCAGGCAACAGGTGAATACAGTTAATGCAGCAGTACGTGAAGAAATCAAGGACAACCACTTTCCCACATAGGTCCTTGTAAATAGAAAGGGGCTCCTCTGTGTTCAGCCATTCCAGCCCTGGAATTCACAGAAAGCAAATTACAAAGATTAAAGGAAACAACAACGGGGTCATTTACACAGCTATTAAAGTATTAACTATACTTTGAAGTAGATAGAAATAATTTAAAGAAAGTAAAAGCCGAAGCTGGATAGAGGACAGACACAGCAGTCCTAGCTGTCTCTGGCAGATTCCCCTCAGATCGTTTCAATGGACCCTGGACCTTGTCAGTAGACCTACTGCAACTTTAAATACTGCATCCTTAAGCCAGCTTCACAGTTTGAGATACGGCAGCAAAACTGTGCACTTCGCTTTTCCTCGCTCACAATTTGAAGGGCTAAAAATCACTCTTACAAGAGATCTTAGAACCACAGCATGTGGTTGTTCAAGAGATTCCACCTTTTCTTAAAGGAGGAACTTTATGGTTTCTCTGTGGCGTATCCAATAAACACCATCATTACTCTTGAATGCTGGAGCCATTATTAAGTGGAATAAGAATTATTTAAGCACAAGCATCATGGTCCCAGTGAAAACCACAATAAATGCTGAATGACTAACAGTGGGCAACACACACAATGCTGAGATGTGGACAAGGGCTGACCAGTGTCATGGACAGAAGGATGATTTGCTTCCTGGAAAGGACACAAGAGGACGGCACACAATTTTAGCATGCTACTCAGAATGTACCATTAAAACTTATGAGCAGTTTATTTTTGGAATTTTCAATTTAATAGTTTGAGCAGGTGATTAACAATAGGTCCCTGAACCCAGCCATAAAGGCAGACAAACGGAGCAAAGACTACCAATAACAAAAACTGGTTGTTCAAGTATATCAAAATTCTAAAAATAATGGTCTCAAACAAATTTATATTTCCAGTAAATACTCCCAACTAAAGTATTCAGGGTTCAGTAAACATTTAATTATTCCTTTTGATAAGCATTAACTATATACCTAATTAATGACATAGAACTATTAATTATACCTACTAATTAAGATGTAGTTCACACCTCACTTGCAATATATTTAAGAATCTGTCTCTAAATTGTTAAGGGTGCCTTAGTGAGGGCATAGAGACAGTTATTATATGTAAGTTATTGTGCCAGGTGTTTACCAGATTTAATGATAATAATGTATATAAGTAGCAATAATTACAATGAATACAACAAATACCCAACACTTAATAAGTCTCCTTGTTTTCTAAGAATTTACCTGAATTACTTCCACGTAATATCCCTAAAAAGTAAATATTAGCTCCACTTTCTAAGTTAAAAAAAAAAAAATCAAGACCTGGAGAAATAAAGTAATGTGCTAAAAATCAAAAAGCTCACAAAGGAGGGTACAGGGATCGAGGTCCAGGCTGGCCTGGATCCACCGCTCTACTGCAGGTGGTATCTTTCGACGAACGACTGTTCTCTAAGCTGATCAGTAACTACAATCACACTGAACATGACTTTACCTGAAAATCTGCTTTGTCTTCAACATTCTGTCCTTAAAAATTGGGTCCAGCAGATATCAGAGCACATCAGAAACAAAGCCTGATTAATATCTAGTGAGTATGACTTGAGACATAGTGGTCAAATACCGTAATAATATACTTATAAATAATATATAAGTATATTATTATACTTATATATAATAAATAATAAATATACTTATAAATAATAAACTTATAAAATAATAAACTTATAAACATAGAAAAAATAGAAAATGGAAACATTCTCCCACAAATCTAGCTGCTGGCCTGCTAGTTTATAATATTGTATTCACTATGTGCTTTATTACAAAGTTTTCAGAAGATATGTATACATCTGTATATATGTATGTGTCATTTTGAAGTTTCTCTGATGGGATAAACCAATCTCTGATGGGATAGAGCCAATTCTTTTGCAATTCCGCCGTATTTCAAATCCAGTATAATAAAGTGGGGAGGGGTATGCCCCAAGTGCAAAAGGGAAAGAGAGACTGTTGTGGAACTGAGGAGGAACTGATATATCCTTCCGGGAGATACCTGAACCCTGCCACAGGTAACAAATTAACTATGCATGTGGTTTCAGTATCATGCCAGGATACATGCCAACTCCAGCAGACTAAACAATGACACTCCCAACTAAAGAAAGTAAAGGAGCATTTTGTTTAAACTGCACTGCTGGGAGTATCTATTTCCTCGTGTTCCAACAGTTCCCACAGCTAGGATTCAACCCTGAGTACTAAGCTAAAACTGATTCCAAAGTTTAAAACTCAACAGGTTCACTACTTTGAACGTGGAAACAAAGCAGGCAGTACTAGAAAAGCTTCAGATCTGAGGTCTGTAGAATGTAATACAGCTCTACTAGTTATTAGACGGGCAAGTTCCTTAGCCTTCCTGTGCCTCAGTTTCCTTACCTGTAAAACAAGACTAATTAGGAGCACCCCTAGTGGGTTGTACCAGGCATTAAGATCGCCAAGTGCTTAAAACCGTCGGTTGCATGTGGAAAATGATCCACAAACGTCAGTGGGGATAAGAAAGATGGAGAACCTGCGGGCTGGCTGGGTAGTCCGGTCATTGAAAACCGAGGCCGCTAAACAGCCCCGGGGTCTTGAGGTCCTGGACCTCAGGCCAAGCAGTATTCAAGACCGAGAAGCAAACGCTGGTCCCCGCCCTCCAGACCCCCCCCCCCCCAGCGTGTCGCCACTCCGTTACACCCAGGGACGTGGGCGGGTGGCCGCGCGGCAGACCTCCGGACGGCTGGCGGGAGGGAGCCATCCCCGAGGAAGGGGAGGCCCCGGGGGCGCCCCCACCCCCGCCAGCCCTCACCTTCCGGAAAGTCGGGCACCGCTAGGTCCCGCTCCCAGCCGTCCACCTTCTGCAGATACTGGTAGACCAGCTCATCCTTCTCCTGCTGGGTGACGGCGTCCAGCAGGGCGTACTCCAGCGAGGTCTGCGCGGGCAGCAGGCCCGACAGGCTCGCGCCCCGCGCTCCGGGGGCCGCCATGTTGTGCGGGCTCCCGAGCGCTCCGGGACGGCGGGCGAGGGCCGGGGAAGCGCGCGCCGCCCTCTTGCTCAGCGCGGTGCCCGGCCGGCCCCGAGCTGCGCCACACCCGCCTCCGTCCGCGCCGAGCCTCGCCCAGCGGCCGGAGTCCGAAGGGCCGAGCTGCCCCCGGCGCGTAACTCAACGCCAGAAGCGCCGACCCGCCCCTTCCAGGTCCCGGCCGCCGCCGAGCCTGGACGTTCGGAGCGCCAGATTCGACACGGGGAAGGCCTCCGGGCGCGGGCTCTGCAGGGGATGGGGAGCCCAATCCCGGGAACCGGACAGGGCTCCCTACGCAAATAAAATCCAAGTAGCTCTGTAACTTAAAAAGAGCCGACTTAGGGAAACCCTCCTCAGGTGTCCCCACTCCTAGGCTGGGATCAGCCGATTCGGCACGGTAGTGAGCGCGGGAGACGGTTCCCGCGAAGAAGGACCCGGAAGGTAAAGGGGGTGAAGGCGTCTTCAGAGTTGTGTTCTGTAGGTAGTGGGGCCGGTGGGGAGTGGCGAAAGTGCCGGCGCGAATGAGTGTCCCGGGAGCGGGGAGCTGGCGCGGAGAGGAAGCAGCTGCCGCGGTGCCGGGGCTGCCCGGCCAGGTGCGCCCGCGGGGGGCTGCCGGGGCTGGCAGGAGGGGCCGCTCAAAGAGCCGCTGTGGCTTAAGCTGAGGATCCGGCAGGGGCCTTCGGTGGCCTTCCCCACCCCAGATCCACGGGAAAGAGGACGAGCTGTAGGAGTTTTCTGGTACCCGACTTCTGTGCAGGTCTGGAGGGTGGCCGACCACTTTCAGGACAGACAGCCCCAGTGGTGTGGGGTACAGCGTGGCCTCAGCACGATCTCACTTGTTTGAACTTTGTTCACTGTGCAGGATTTGATCCTGTGAGGGAGGAAGAAATGGAGTGACCCGGGAAACTGAACCTGGTTGGATATCCATGAGTCACGAATAAGGGCAGTTGCGGGTTTTGTGACCAACACCTCTTTGATTATGGTGTGACTAGTTTCAGCAGTGAACTAAAGTACCCAGTTGGCTAGGGTCTGTGACTGGACTTGTGAACGGACATTTGACCACGTAAATGAGAGCCAGGAAAGCTTCCTAGTGGGGATGTGGAGCCTGTACTTCTCATCAGTGCTTACCTTTCAAGGCACCATTGATTCTTATTTTTATAAATCAAATCCTGGAACATTAAAAAAAAAAAAAAAACAACTGAATGAAATAGTGTCACAATGTAAAAAACAAAACAAAAAAACCAAAAAATTACAAATCTCACCCTTTGGTTCGATTAATTTTATTGTGTTATAAATGGAACAGCAAGTCTTCATAGGTGCTGATTGTGTTGTGTTCCAATATCATCATCAACAAAGTTTCAGTCCAGACCAAGTTAGTTCGATTTTGGCTACGTTTTTTCCTATTAAAAAACCTGTAACAAGAAATGGACTCTGAATTTACTAAACGCTAATGTTGGACTCATAAATACCATTTTGCCATGTTAGAAGACACATTTTGGGAAGAAGACATCTGGGAATATAAATCTAAAAGAAAACCCAAACCAGTGCATCCAAATAATTGTTCTGAAAATATTTCAGAATTTGTTGAAAAAGCAACAGATGGAAAATACCGGACAAAACGAAAAGGAAACAAAAAAAGAACCAAAGAAGATAAAGGCATGCCGAGGGACCACAAAGAGTGCCTTGGGGAAACAAACAGTCAGATTTCTGTAGGTTCCAGTCAGAATTCTAGTTGCAGAGATGAGATTCAACAGTCTCAAAGCAAAGACACTACTCCAAGAAAGCACCATAGAGCTCACAGAAGCAAACAATTGTCCCCAAGAGTACGCCCAGTTTATGAAGGATACTGCCCAAGCTGCCAGGTGCCTTTTTCCTCATTGCTTGGTCAGACACCCCGATGGCATGTTTTTGAGTGTTTGGATTCTCCCCCAGTCTCCAACATAGGTAAGAAAAGCCCAGGGATACCCCTGTCTCTGTCTCCTTATTGCTGGACTGTAAGCATGTGCATGCATGCCTGGCTGGTTTCTGTAAGGGCTGTGGGCTGAACTCTGGTGTCTGTGCACAGCAGGTACTGTACTGCCTGAGCTATCATCCCAGCTCCTCAATCAACTTTTGCATGAGCTAAGAACTTTCGCATTTTCCTACTTAACTCTTACAAGGACCAGACAGGTGGGTGGCATTAACGTTTTGTAGATGAAGATTTCCTACAGGTTAAATAACCAGGATGATTTGTTATCCTAGTTTAGAATCAAATCGAAAATTATAAATACATTTGGTTTCTAACTATGGACATATTGTATTCATCGTGCGTGTTGGTACACCGGAAGAACTAGAAGGTAGTCTGAGATGACTCAGTCTCACAAAAATGTGCCAGTAACAGAAGTGATGCCATGTTTTTATTATATTTTAAGATAAACGTCGTATTTAACATAGAAAATTCTACTAGGACTATATAGAAAATGAGTTATGACTTTAATTTTTTTAAAGTTATTTCAAATTTCCTTGTGAAAAGGGGATCTGAAAAAGCAATCTAAAAGTATATGTTTAAGTGTAATAAATAGTGCCTTGTAAAACTATTTTGGATTAATTTTTGGCGTTTTAGTGTTTATCTTGGAAACAGCTGTTATTATGCAGGCCACCATAGCTATTGCCATAGTTCTTAAAGGTGACCCATGCCAAGGTAGGTATGGTGGCACACACCTTTCATCCCAGCACTTGGGAAGCAGAGGTGGGCAGATCTTTGAGTTCAAGGCCAGCCTGCTTTACATAGTGAGTTCTAGGTCAGCCAGGGTTACATAGAGAGACCCTGTCTCAAAAACAAAACAAAACAAAATGGTGGCCCATGGTTTTGTGTGTAGAGGCTACTTTACATCAGCGCTGCCAAACTTTATTGTGTAAAATATTCTGTTGGTCTTTAACTTTTCAGAGTGTCCTGAGGGTCTTCTATGTACCTCTACAATTCCTTCTCATTATAAGAAATACACTCATCTCCTGCTTGCTCAGGGTAGAGCTAGCAAGGAGCCTGTCCACAGCCCATCCCACGTGCCAGCTGCATGTCTCACTGCAGCAAAGCCAGACTCTTGTGACCTTGAGGAGAGACTGCCTGTGCATCTGAGAACTGAGAACTTAAGGAAGGTTTTAGATGATTCTCTATCTATGGTACAGTGCCTAAGAACATCTCAACCTCCAGCTGAAACCAACAAAAAGATTTCCTCTTCCGCATGTTCTCAGATGTCAGTAGTTCCAGAATATGCAGAGTTTGTTAAGAAAGACAAGCTGTGTGAGGATGGCTTGCCTCTTGTGGAGGACACTTTAAAGAGTCAAAGCAACTCACAGGGTCCAAGTTTGCCAGAAAGTGACTGTGAGATCTCCTACTCTCCGCTGCAGAGTGACGAAGAGACTTACGATAAAGACCAAGAGCTGGATGACTCACAGCAGGAACTATTCTTTACGCAAAGCTCTAAAGACAGCAGCCTAGAAGATGGTTCTGCCATATTTGAACAGCTTCACCATCCCTTCCCAAAGGAGCCAGAGGGAGTCTGCCCCTCAGTGGAGAGCCTGCTGACTCAGGCTGAGTTCAGGGGATCGGATAAAGGCCGTGCTCTCAAGGATTCCTTTCAGCTTATCTCCCAGACCCAGGGCAGGCTTGCCCAAGATGACCGAGCACACACAGGTTCTGGCTTTCTCTTGTTTTCACATGCATTGGCAGTGGGACGTGCTGCTTCTAATTATCAGACCACTAAGGCAAGACTTGATGAGCCAGAATTTTACTCACTTGGATCAAGTCATCAGAAACAGAAAATTAAAACATCAGCTGTTGGCAATCAAATTTCCCTGCCGTTACTTACAAGCGCCGTGGCAAAACCACTTGAGAAGGAGGGAGGCAAATGTCGGTCTGTGAACCCAACCCAAAGTCAAAGTAAAGGATTACAGCTTAAGGGCGTGGATGCTGCGGGTACTAACTCGACGTGTGCCTGCAGAAAGGTAGAGAAGTGTTCAAGCACGCCTCTTGCCAAGTCCGTGAGCTCATCACCTGTCAGTCCTAGCTGCAGTGCAAGCCAACCTGCTAAGAAAGTAATGAGGCAAATGGATATAGGTGTGTTTTTTGGACTACCACCCAAAAGACAAGAAGAGACATCGCCAAGGAAAAGTGCTTTAGAAAGGCCAAATGTGAGTCCCGTTGTGAGTCCTAAAGAAAAGAGGCCACGGTTGGGCAAGAGGAAAGCCGAGAACTCTGTAAGTGACTTAGAATTTGATGCAAGGAATTTAAATGAGAGTCTGTGCCCTACGGAACTGTCTGGAGAGACAGCTCAGCATCGAAGAAAGAGACCTAGAAAGTCAAGTTCACTGCGGGAAGGAACGTATCAGAGGTCAGGTCCCCTTCTTACCAGTCCAGAGATGGGGACAGCCAGCTTAAGTAGAGGCAAAGCCTCTGTGCGATGGACTCATGGCAGGCCACAGAGAGGGAACGTGGCCATTTCAGAGTCGGCTGGCACGGGGAAATTGCAAAGATCATGTCCATTCTATAAGAGAATCCCTGGTAAGTTGGAACACCAGCGTCAGCTTATCAATGAAAACACGGCGCACATTTCTTTGACACTGGGTGGATATGTTTCAAATCATTTTCATAAAGTATATGTTCTCTTTGATCTTTATGATATTTTTGAGTCTTAATGAGATTGGGTTTTTGGTTTTTAAAATTTTTTTCTCCATTATCAGCAAATTTTTATTAAAAATTTTATACATGATCTATATAATGATTAGATAGTCATTATAGATTATAGAAAGGCGAGCGAATAGTGGAGATTCCACATAACCTGAAGGAAGGTAAAACATCGGTGTAAATATAATAAAAGCTGGTACTTAAGCACTGCTGAGGGTACACAGTGCTCAGGGAATAAAAAAGGGGCACATGGCAGGATGTAACTCCCACAAATGCCAGTTTTAAAGCAATGTGAATATTTAGGTTTTTCTGCTTTTGTATATTCCAGCTGGATATCTGCTCATGCCTTCACAGGTGAGTTCATAGAAAAAATGTGCACAGAAATGATTGCTAAAGAAATCACTAACTCTTCTATTGGGAGTATACAATAGAACAGCAAGAATAGATTCAGCTTCTAAAGATTACATAAAAATGTTTCTCAGCTATGTGTGGCGGTCAGTGCTAGTTCTGTTTTTCAGTTATTATTATGATTTACTTTTTATATTTTTAAATGTGCTGTGTATTGATAACCTCAACAGCATTTTGAGGTTGAGTTTGTTTCCCTGTGTATCTTTTTTGAGTTTTTGAGACAATTCCTTATTCTTCCTCTGCTACCATGAAATCAAGGACTATTGATAATATTCTCTTTTTTATTTAACTTTGGCCCTTCGGAGGACTGCAAACTTTGATAAGCTTTTTGACCCTTGAGAAGCTCAAGGATCAATCTCACCCCTTCATTGAAACTCATGGCTTCAAAGTTCTAAGCCATTCTCCTCTCACTGTTTGGCAGAAATTAGAGTCCACTTGCCCTACCCCAGGTGTCAGAACCACAAAGCATTAATTAGGGCAAAAAAAAGATTGATTTGTAGCTTAATTTTTTGGTGAAACTACTCTCAAGTGTCTACTCTGGGTACTTAGTAGACACAGGAATTATTCTAACCTCTCAATAAATTTATGTTTTTACATAAACTGTAGTGAAATTGAGGGTTAAGTGAGAGCTGCAGAGTGGTGAGGTCTGGGCTCTAGAAGGCACCTGGGTGTGTGAACACTGGCTCCTGCTCTCCATGGTGGTGTCTCGTTGCAGGGACCGGCTTTACCGTGGATGCTTTTCAGTACGGCGAGGTTGAAGGCTGCACTGCCTATTTCCTCACACATTTCCATTCTGATCACTATGCGGGGCTGTCGAAGGACTTCACAATGCCAGTTTATTGTAGTGAGGTATGTTTAGTGTTCTGAACTCTGTCTTTGTGGAGTGTGGTGACTTTGAGAAACTTTGGTTAAAAAAAAATAGAATATTGAAAACTAGAAGAGCCATCATTGTTCTGGAAAAGATGGCTAAAGCTGATTCTACATTAAGTTTAAAAATCAAATATGACTCTACCAGCAGTTACAACCTATTTTTACAAACATGTATTTTAATACATGAGAGCTATAAGTGGTGTTACAGTACACTCAGTAAGCCAAATTTTACCCAGTAAACATTGTACAGAGTGCCTAAGTAGATATAGAGGCAAAATAGCACTGTAGGGCTATGTAGCTTCCAGGGGCAACATTCAAAGATAAAGCCAGGGTGGACTTACTGCTGTCACAGGGGTACCTCACACTGTCCCCAGCTGAGTTGAGAGAAAGTTTCACAGTGCAGAATGCCTTGAGCTGGTTATCAGGGAGCATTTAATCCCAGTTCCCAAGGGCTTTAGTGAGAACTTGATTTAATCCTCACAGTACTCATGACACACCCCCTTGTCTTAGTGAAGAAAGAATGATTAAAACAGTTGGTGGAAAGGCACAGCACCTTGGAAATACCTATTTCAGGCTTTCAGAAAGTTGAGAATATTTAGAACATACCATGAGGAACTGTGGGAGATAAGCCCACAGTTGAGAGCAGGGACCAGGTCAAGAAGGTTTTTGTGCAGCCTGTGGGAATGGCCAGCTGGCCTCAGGTGAGCAGGCCGAAGAGTGATATGGTTGTCTTCCAGACTGTCCAGGCGTGGAGAGGTCACATGCATAGGAGTGGGAAAACCGAGAGTGCTAGCCCACCATGGCTCTAAACTGAATGTGAAACACAGCATCATTAGCAAATGCACCCTGTCTTGCAGATAACTGGCAATTTGTTGAAGAAGAAGCTTCATGTGCAAGCACAATACGTCCATCAGTTGCCAATGGACACTGAATGTATAGTGGATGGTGTCAAAGTTGTTTTGCTGGATGCCAATCAGTAAGTGTGAAGGTCACCTCAGCCTCCCGCTTGGCACAGCAGGCAGCACACCAGTGTCATAAAAGGCACCTGTTTTGAACAGTATCGAAAAAGAAAACGGCAGCATGGTTGTCTTGAGAGCTTAGAGCTAATAAGCTTGATTCTTGAACTGCAGTCAATCCTATTTCTACTTTTGAAGAAAATAATTTTACTATTAGATTAAATGTACAGAGATTCAGTTGTCTAATTCATTTTGTGCAGTTGACTTGTGACACTTTATATTAAAAAATACTTTGTTACTGTTCTTTAAACATGAAGTTCTCCATTCTCCTTAACATAATTTACATGAAGTAAAATCTTATATTCTATTTGGATACCAGAGGATTGGTCCTCTGATTCTACCCTACCTTTAAATTAAAAAAAATCAGTCAATTTTAGATTCTAAATATTTGGAAGATTTTTTTTCTCCATGGAAATAGATTTCTCTGTCTCTGTCTGTCTCCCTCCCCTACCCATATTTTCTCTTTTTCCTCCTTCTCTCTCCCTCTCTGTCCCTTTTCCGCATTCATCTTTGCACCCCTCTTAACCCCACTGTAAGGTGCTGTCAGGATTCATGCTGCCCCAATATAGCAATCAACTATGCTTCTGAGATGTGAGCCTGTTCCATAGAGACCATAAGCATCTTGGGAAAGAGATAAGGCAAGATTAGTCCAGGCCAATATTATCATCTTAGATTGGTTTTTGTTTTTTGTTTTTTTAAAGAAGTTGTCTTCTAGCCTTGCTAATATTTCTTCTTTCATTGTCCATTTGAGTTCTGATACTTTTTGGAGTTGTTATTGAAATATTTACCACAGCTTCCATATTTCCCATAGATTGTTTGATCAAGCTAGTGTCTCAGACAATGCTCTTATCAGACAGGTTGTCCTAAGGGCTTCAAGGCCAGCCTGTCCTGAAGACAGTACCTTCTTGGGAATGTGCACCCTGTAGGCTTGAGCAACCCTCCCTGCACTCTGGTGGTCAGCTGATTGAGAGAAGTGCCCTTGCCACAAGTGCTCTGTGTCTCTGGGTGTTCCTCTAAAGTGTTTGTGTCCAGCTGTCCAGGTGCTACCATGATCCTCTTCCAACTTGCTAACGGTGCCGCCCTGCTGCACACTGGAGACTTTCGGGCAGACCCCAGCATGGAGCGCTCTCTTCTTGCGGGCCGTAAAGTCCACACGCTGTACTTAGACACCACGTGAGAAACACTTTTTGAGTTCTGCCTTTTCCCACTGTTAGTTGTGCCCTGCATTTTATGGGTAATTTAAGCATTTGTGTAGATAAGCTAAATGATGGTTTGTAGCCAGTTATTTTTTTAAGAGTGACCAAAGGATGCATTTAAAAAAAAAAAAAAAAACCTACTAAAAGGCAAATTTAGAATTATATGTCATAATTTTTGTTATTTTTTTGAAAATGTTTATAAGACAGTTCTGTTACTTAAAAAAATTGGGGAAACAAATGTTAGGAAAACAGTTTTTAAATTACTTTTTTTCTGGAGAGTCCGTATAGTTACTGTATAGTTGTAAAGAGAAAACAGAGGCCACAATTCAGGTTTGGAATTACTTTTGTCCTTTTCTTAAAAAAGTAATTTGTAAGTTACACCTTTGAATCCTTCAGTGATACAAACATAGTCACATAAATGTTTTTATTTAAATTATGTAGTCTCAACTTTATTAAGGTATAACTGACAGAAATTGTATATATTTGTGGTATACAGTGTAATTCCATATTTTAAAATGACTCATTGATTAGTTAGGAATTAATTATATAAATATTTCAAGGATTTTTTTTTATGAGATATTTTAGTAAAAGATAATCTTTCCCAAAGAGCAGAAACATCAAAGACAAGCCTTTCCGTGGCCATTTGCCTACAGTGACATAGTTCATTCTTCCATATGTACTTTAAATAGTAGATAAGGAAATAAATTTTTAAGACATGTAGTTTTACTCCTACATGATTCCAGATTTTTTTTGTGGGTTTTCACAGAAGAAAGGACTGAGAGTCTTTCCCTTTTTGACAATTGAGTAGCAAAGTCAGTTCTGAAAGTCAGAAAAATTGTTTGTGTGGTAATTATTGTTTATTGCCAAAATTGCGCTTCTCATCTCAAAACATATATAGATAATAACTTGAGGCCAGCCTTTCACTGTGTGATTTTGAATCTTGGTCCAGCTAGATCTGTTGTATTTGTTTAAAGATTTGTTTTTAATTATGTGTCTGTGAGTGTGCGCTCTTGAGTACAGGTGCCAGTGAAGACCTAGGGCATTAGGATCTGGAGTTACAGGCAGCTTGGGGGTCTGACTCTTGTGGGTGCCGGGGACTGAACTCAGATCCCTGGAAAAACAGTATGCACTCTTTACCCATGAGCCATCTCTCTAGCCCCTGGGTTTGCTATATTCTTGTGATGTATGCATTTATGCATCTGTGAAAGGTAATAACCATATGGATATCAACTTTAATTTGAACACTAATGAATTTATATTTATTAAGTCAGAATTCTTTTCTACAAATATCTCTTTCAATTGTATTTTCTTTGATACTGACTTGGGTTTTAAAAATAATGAATTTTATCATTCATAACTAAAGTGAATAACTGGGTATATTCTTATTATATAATATATTCTTATTAACTGTATATAGGCATAACTGGGTATATTCTTATTATATAATATATTCTTATTAACTGTATATAGGCATATCAAAAAGTATTCAAATAGAAAATTTCTTTGCAGATGATAAAAAAATAATTTAAAAGTAAATAGTGAAAAATTATTATTCTACTCTAAATTGGCAGTAGCTGGAAGCAAGCATTTTCATTTTAGGTGGTGTGAGACCGTGTAGTTTTAATAGGCTGTATCCCTGCTGCATCTAATGCACTAGCTTGATTTCTTGTAAAGAAATACCCAGCAGAGCCACAGCTTCTATAGTCCTTGTTAAGAACTGTTTCCTTGTCATAGATACTGCAGCCCAGAATATACCTTCCCATCTCAGCAGGAGGTTATCCAGTTTGCCATCAACACCGCCTTTGAGGCTGTAACCCTAAACCCGCGTGCTCTTGTCGTCTGTGGCACTTACTGTATCGGAAAGGAGAAAGTCTTCCTAGGTGGGTGGTAGCAGGATCTAATTTACATTAATAGATTATAAAGATCAGATTCTCTTGCAAAAGGCCCTTTCAGTTTCTACTGTTGCACTCAACATTCATTTTCTGAAATGATCCAGTATTACCTTTGGAGGTAGAGAGAAAATGGGTAGTGTTTGGTACATTTAAACCAGGAGGCTAAACATTATGAGAATGTTTGATAAATGCATTTGTCTTGACACTTCTGTCTGTAGGCTAAGTCGTGTGGCACTGTGCTCTCAGCTAGCTTGGTCTTACTGCACAGCTCTATTGTATCATCCCTTGCAGATCTACCAGGAACCAGCAGAGAGCAATTTAACTTTTGCTCCTGGTGATTCTTCTGTCTTCCTGTAGTTTGTCTAGTGATAGGTACATTGCGTTGTTTCTGCGGAGTGCTCCCTATTTCTTCTTAGATATGATGACACTATGTCAGCCTCAAGAGATGACATGATAAGGCCAGGGTGTTGACATGTTCAAATGTACTTCCTTTCCATCTGCCTCTTTCATGCTACTTTCTTTTAAGATTAGTTTTATTTCTAGGCATGTGACTATGTGTGTATCTGTGTCTGTGCATGTGAGTACAGGTGCCAGAAGACATCTGATTACCTGGGAGCCGGAATTATATGTGAGCCACCCAGCTAGGATGCTGGGAACCAAATATGGCCTCTGTGAGAGCTGTGTGTGCTCCCAGCCACTGCACCATCGCAACAACTCTGCACTGGTTATTTGTGATTAGAATGTGAATGTTTGTCTTGTGAATTTGTTATTTATTTGGTAGATTCTTATTTTAATATTTGAATAAATTGTAACTTTGTTTATTTAACAAACTAGGATCTTATTGTTTTTCCTCTTTTGCTTTGCCTACAGCCATTGCTGATGTTTTGGGTTCAAAAGTGGGCATGTCCCAAGAAAAATATAAAACTTTACGGTGCCTCAACATACCAGAAATCAGCTCCCTCATAACTACAGACATGTGCACTTCTTCGGTCCACCTCCTCCCAATGACACAAGTTAATTTTAAGGTAAGCATTCAAGATGTATGTCTTTTAAGATACACCAGGAAAGGTATTTATCTGAGTTTAACTCTTAAGAAATTCTGTTAGAATGAAGATTTCCCACAGGGAAAGAAATATTTAATGTTTTTAGCTTTTCTGTGTGAGCATCTCTGTAGAATAAGTCACAAGCCCACCAGGACTTTTAGACACTAGAGGATTGGCCCAAAGGAAGTAGCACAAATAGAAAGGCATATAGCCATGTGGTCGTCATTAAGCCCATTTTTCCTAGTCATTTCTGGGGGAGTGAGGGAGTTCGACAGTCGTGAGTCCTCCGCAGGCCTGTTCTGCTCAGTTCTGATATTGGCCCCTAGAACACTGGTGTTTGTGGAATGACTTAGTGGCAGTGTATCCCAACAGAAAAGTCTAGTGTGAGAACATGCCATGTGAAATGTCTGATATGTCACTGTGGTTCTGGGGCTGTCTCTCAGATTTAAGTTCTAAGATTCATTCCATATTATAGCATTTTGACACCTGCCAATAAAATAATGTATAATAAACATGATTTAGAACATGATGCACAAAAACATGGTTTTGCTTTTGCCATCATATCATAAAATAATGTTTCTGAAGCTTTGAAACTGGGAAGCTTGGGCCTTACAAATAACAAGACATCAAGAAAACAAATGAGCTCCCTGCTGTGCACGGTGAACACACAGGCTCAGGGCCTCTTTTCCTGGGTTCATAATCCACACAAATTTCAGATACAGCCAAAGCAGGGTTTTGCATGTTAGTAATTAATTGAGTCAGTTTGTGAGCATCTTGAGTTTGGAGCTGCCCATGTGGTGGGGAATCTTCTGAGATGCTGGTCAGAAGGACACGTGCTGCTGTCCTGGAAAACAGGCAGCGTTATTTTATTTCCTACTCAGCTTGTTTCATGAGAGAAGATTATCAGGACAGGGGAGTCAGTATTATGGACATTGAGGGCTTAGAACTTTTTTCACAAGAGTATGCATGGATGCTGTCTGCTGCAGAGAAGGCCAAGTGAGGGAAGGAAGGCAGTCTTCAACCAGAGCAGCCATGCTCCGCTGTGTGCAGTAAAATAGTGACGGAAGGGCCTGATGGCAGGTAGCTAAGGAAGGAATGAGAACACTGTCCAGTGTCTTACTTACCAAGTCATACTTCGATGCCAGCCTCTACATATACTAAAGGAGGCACAGTGCTGTTCTGTCAGGACGTTACACATGCTCACCCCTCAGCACGCACTTGGATAGCTCTAGTAAAACAGACAGACAGTAACTACCATTGTTGATGGTATGGGGAAATATGAACCGTGATCTTCGCTCATGGGACTGGGAAATGGTGTTCTTACATTCAGTTTGGTGCCGACCTGATCAGTCCTGGGCATATTCCAGTCCTAAGAAAAATCAAAAGCATCACCTTGCATAAAACTGTGAAAATATTCACAGTAGTCTGATCCATAGCAGCCAAAAAGTAGAGACAACTGCAATGCCCATTAAATATAGTAAATGAACGAATTAAATGTGATGCATCCATAAAACAGGATCTTCGTCATCTATACAATGGAATGGAATCATAGTACATACTACTGAATGAAATATGAGAAAAATATGCAAGATAAAAAAGACAAATGTAAATTCTATATATTAAATTATTTGATTCACCTGAAATACCCAGAATGTGTAAATCTGTGGGCCCAGGTTTGCTAGAGTTTAGAAGAAAGACAGTGGAGAGTGCGTGCCAGGGGCAAATGATTTCTTTTAAGGATGATGTAAATGTCCTAAAATTTGATAATGACAATGTTGCATAACGCTGATTTTATAAAGAGACTAAAAGTGCTGAATTGTGTGATTTTAACACTGCCTCGAAGTCAAGAGAAAAAAACAAACAATGAACAAGAAAAGGAGAATAAAGAAATGGAGTCCAGAAGCCGAGCCCAGGCTGTTAAGAGGCAGCCATAGCACATGGAGCCAGAGCTCCTTAGGGAAGTGACTGTTTTAGCTGTGGGTGGGGCGAGGGAAAAACTGGTGGCACTGAGGTAAGGCAGTAATTGGTGAAGTCAAGCTTCTCAGCAGCCTTCCTCAGAAAGAGGAGTCAATGCTCCTGAAGAACCAATAGCTTCACAGACTGTTGTCTGGTCCTCGTGGCCTTCTTTTAGATTGTATTTTTATACTTCCAGACCTAAACAGAAATAAATCTTGAGGCAACTGCAAACTCAAGTACAGTTTTTATGCAGGAACTCAAACTGGCTTTAATATTTGGAAGCCTTTATTCTGAGCACGATTTAGGCTGGTGTCCTTGAAGAGGGAGGGACTTGGTACCGTTGTCAGGATTTTAATATTCACTAAGGGTATTTTACCACTTCTGGAAGTTTATATTAAAAATCACTTCTTTCTGAAAAGGCAGTTTTTTAGGGCTCCCAGATGATGAGTGTGTAGCAAAGTTAAGAATGGTCAGACACATCTGAGAGATGAGGCTGTGAGGCTCCAGAAAGTCAGCCATGCCCTCTTTGCTCACCCATGCCGGGTGTAGAGCTAGAGCAGGTATCCCTGGTTCTGCCTTCAGGACTCCGCCGTTCTCCCTGAAAGTGAGCAGAGAGTGACATTTGAAGCTCCTTGCCTAATAAACACAGGAGAAGAATCTGGTGATTATTGTAATGCTGTGTGGTAATGATTATTGCCAAATGTACTGGCCCCAAGTATCTGTACTACAACAGACATAATGGCTTTTGTTAAAATACAAACCTAATTGTTCTCAGGGTGTTCAGGGCATCTTCAGAAAGTTTTGGAATGTGGCCTCAGTAAAGTGCTTGCTGTACAAGGACTTGAGTTCTATCTCTAGACCCATGGTAAAAACAAACAAAACAACTGGACATAGGGTGTGCTTTGCAGTCCAGCACTGGGAAGTAGAGACAGTTGAACCTCTGGGGCTCCCTGCCAAGTGGCTTAGGACACTTGGCAGGCTTCAGGTAGTGAGAGAACCTGTCTTAAAGGTAGGTGGGTCCCAGTGAACTACACACAAGGCTGCCCTCTGACCACCACAAGTGTGTACACATACGTACCTGACAATATGCATGACTCACACTCAGGCTCCTGCACTCTCATATCTAAGAGTGAGGGCTGAAATGCTGCAGGTGATATTTGCTTCCTCCTCTCTGACTCATCCTGAGGTCTTAGAGATGTTATCTGGCCCACCACCACCTCTGGTTCAACGCTTATTAACTAGGTGTGGTAAAACAATACAGAGAGGCTATGGGGCTGTTGGCATTCTAAAGAAAACTTTAGTGACATTGCCAAGGCATTTTTCTCCCAAACTGGTTACTAATAAACAGAGAGAGACAGTCATAAATCAGGGATTTTGTGTTGACTAAATTGTTTGTAATAACTTTCCTCATGAGAGCAGTCCTGCAGTGTGGTTAATGTACAGTGGGCTTCTGGCAGCCTTCTCTGTAGACTTCGCTCATGTAACTGTGGCTTTCTATTTGTAGCACTGGTTTCTATCATGAACTATTTTTAGAATAACCAATTTGTCTCATAGGAACAAAAAATTGGTTCCCATTTAATTCTTTCAGGTAGTTTTGAAGAAACAAATAGAAATAGATACGTTGGTGATAAATACTGCACACTAGACCCCAGTTTATGGGAGTAGAGTATAGTTATGTGTATTACTACCCACTGTCCCTGTTCAGTTACTTCCTTTCCGGCTGAGAGTAAAGTGAGGAAACATAGTAATTAAACAAGTAACCAAAACAAAAACTTGAAAACTACAGTGCAGGGATGGTGTAATGGAAACACTGTTATAACTCCAGCTCTTAACAGCAAGTTTAGGAGTTGACTAGACGTCTTTTCATGATAGGTATTTTTATATTTGTTTCAAATTAATAAAAGGTTTTGGTTGGTTCAAAAGGAAGTCAAGGAGGACTGTGCTCAAGTCTCTAGCACCCTGTACAAAGCTGGGCACAGGTACAAGTGCTTGCAGCCCCAGAGCTGTGGGAACAAAGATCGAAGGGTAGCTGGGTTATTGGCCACCAGCCTGCTGCAGGTCTAGTGACTCACCCTGACTCAAAGGAACAAGGCAGAGCACAATAGAGCAAGTTACCCGTGTCCTTTATACATGTGCATATACACACCCCACCCCCCCACACACGAAAATGAGATTGTCTCATCAACAAAATGAATTTTAATTCATTCTAAGCTTTTGAAATCCTAGGTTTCAACCTTAAAATCAAAACCATTGACCTTAAAAAAAAAATCCCTTATGTCACCATTACCATTCTCATCCTACTGTTCTCTTGAGCTGAATTTATCCCTCCTTTTAAAGATTTGACTTGGAATGGATTCTTGAGGAGGTTTTGAAATGCTGTAGTAGCTTATGATGTTAGCTGAGACACTTTATTCTTCTCAACACTTACAAGAGGAGCATGTGAGGGGGTGAGTAGGATTGGGCCCTGTAGGTTTACATATTTGGATGCGTGATCATCAGGAAGTGGCACTGTTTGAGAAGGATGAGAAGTTGTGGCTCTTTTGGAGGAATTGTCTTGCTGCGTTTTCAAAGCCCATGATAGCCCTGGTGCCTTTGTCTCTGAGGATCAGGCTGTTGTAGCTCTGAACCACTTCTCCAGCACCACGCTTGCCACGCTCCTGGCTTTGATGGTAATGGACTAAAGCTCTGACTCCGTAAGCCAGCCTCTGATTAGATGTTTTCTTCTGTAAGAGTTGCCTTAGTTGTGGTGCCCCCTCATAGCAATAGAACAGTGACTACAAAAGCTCGTTCCGGGGACTGGAGTGTTGCTGTGACAGCCCTAAGCATGCGTTGTTGGGGGTGTGGAACACTCAGAAGTTTGCACTGGAAAAGTAGTTGGGCACTTTAATAGGGCGTGATAGGCCGTTCTGGTAGGGAGCACAGAAGACAGTGCTGAGGGCGAGTCCAACTATGGCAGCCCAGCTTGACAGGTCTCAGAGGGCAAGGACATTAGTAATGGCCTAGAAACCACTCTTGAGATATTTTGACAAAGAATATGGCTGCTTTTGCCCTTGTCCTAAAAATCTGCGTAGGCTAAATTAAAGCGTTTTGGAGTAATGTCATTGACAGGAAATCTGGAAATCTTAAGACAGCCCAGTATTGACTATGTCACATGGTTAGTAGTGGTCACTCTTCTGCAGACTATAGTGAAAAGGAGCAAGCCAGAAAAAGAGAAAGGCAAAATGTGCAGTTTGTGGGAAAAGGGAGCCCCAGGAAGTGTGATGGAGCAAGTTGAGTGCTCAAGGAGAAAGGAAGTTTAAAGAAAAGTCTGATGCTCAGTGGAATAAAAGGAGTGGTGGTTTCAGGGCAAGACCTCACACAGCTAAGTTTCCAGCTCGTGAAAAGGAATTAAAGAAAAGCTTAAGTAGTGAAGAAAACCATCAGAAACAGAAAGCTGATAAAAATGTAATTGAAGAGGGAACCATGTTCTAGCTCTAGCAAGCAGAAGAACTTGGCAGCTTTGGCCACGTGGTTCTGGCTTTAGAGTCAAGAATAGAAGAAAGGAATTGTGCAGTCTCCCTCCATGGCTAAAGACAGCCACTGAGGCCAGGAGTGTGTCAAGGATATCCCTGCATGGATGTGAAGCTGTGAAGGTGAAGCCTGGATTGCCTTGATGACCCCAAGATGTTGGAGATGCCAGAGTCATAGGATCCCTGCCAGGAAGAGCTGCAGACCAGAGCTGGAACCAGGCCAGACAAGAGACTTGCATTGCAGTCAACAAAGCTGAAAGGAGTTGGAGTCTGAAGAGCGCTTTGAAGCATCAGACATGAGGTTGTAGAATTTGGAGTTTGACCTGCTGAGTTTTCAGTCTTGCTTTGGCCACGTATTTTCTCACTATGCTCCCTTTCTTCCATTTTGGAATAGTAATATGTGTTCTGTGCCATTGTATATGGGAAATATGTAATCTTTTTTAGTTTGATTTTACAGAAATTACGTTAAGAGATTGCCTTGAGTCTCAGAAGAGACTTTGGACTTTTAAGCAGTGCTGAGACTATGGTAGACCATTTGGGGACTTTTGAGTTGGACCAAATATATTTGCATTATGATATGGCTATAAAGTTATGGAGGCTGGGGAGGGAAGTATGGTGGCCTGAATAAGAATGGTCCCCAGAAGCTCATATATTTGAATGCTTAGTCACTAGGGAGTAGCACTGAAGGATTAGAAGAGGTGGCCCTGTTGGAGTAGATGTGGCTTTGTTGGAGGAAGTGTGTCACTTGGGGTGGGCTTTGAGGGTCTGAATGCCTGTGATGGGCCCAGTCTCTCTCTCTCTCTCTCTACTTTTGGTTCAGGATGTAGGACTCTAAGCTACTTCTCCAGCACCCTGCCTACCTGCATCATGCTCCCTGCCTTAGTGATAATGGACCAAGCCTCTGAAACTGTAAGCAAGCTTCTTTTATAAGAGTTGCTTTGGTCATGGTGTCTCTTTACAGCAATAAAATGGTAACTAAGCCTGGTGGTGGTGGCAATTCCAGTACTTGGGAGACAGAGGCAGGTGGATCTCAGAGTTGAAGGTCAGCCTGATCTACATAGTGAGTTCTAGGACAGCCAGGGCTACACAGAGAAAACCTGTTTTTAAAAAACAAAATAACTAAGTAACTAATATTTTTTTTTAAGTATTCAATTGGGGTGGTGGTAGCATGAGCCTTTAATCCCAGCTCATGGGAGGTAGAGGTGGATAGATCTCTGAGTTTGAAGCCAGCCTAGTCTACAGAGTGAGTCCAGGGCAGCCAGGGCTACACAAAGAAACCCTGTCTCATAAAACCAACCAGCGAACAGAACAAAACAATCACTAAGCACATTACTTGTGATTACAGTGACCTGAAGACAGGAGGTGACTCTAGTCCACAGCTGAGGGGTAAAAAGCAAATGCCCGGAAGAATGCTGAGCTGCGTCTTCAGACTGTGGTCTGTGCTGAGGGCAGTGCCACTCTGACTCCAATGCCCCTCCTCAGGGCCCTCAGCGTGTGCTCCCAGACTTACGCTCTATTTCTGCTTATTGTTCTCAGTGTTAGTGTCTGTATGTGGGTTTGGAAAGAGGTGGGGCTTTTGTAGCTAACTCAGACCGTAATTCATTTAACTCCGTTACTTGGGTTTCAAATGACCCATCGTACTTCTTCCTAGGCACTGCCTTAGCTTGCTCTGAAAAGCAAAAAAGAGGAGCTGGAATGTGCCCTCCAGGACTGTCTGCTTAGAAGCAGGGCACCAGGTCTCTGCACATCAGTGTCAACAGCGGCTGCTGTCCGTGACCATCAGTGCCATGTCTCTGATCTCACCCGTTAATTGCTCATGGTCTGACTTTATTGACAACTGACCAGCAAATGAACTCACTGTTTTTATTCAACAGGGCTTACAGAGCCATTTGAAGAAGTGTGGTGGGAAATACGATCAGATTTTGGCTTTTCGACCTACAGGATGGACCCACTCTAACAACATAACGAGCATAGCGGGTATCACTCCCCAGATGAAAGGAAATATATCAATATATGGTAAAATTACCCAAGTTCCCTATTGTCAGAAGTTTCTCCTTTTCCTTCCCTCTTTCTTTGTGTGCATGGACCATGTGTGGATGTGGGGGTCAGAGGGCTATTTGTCGGAGTTGGCTCTCCTGCTGTGTGGGTCCTGGGGTCACACTTGGTCGTCAGGTTTGCTAGCAAGGGTCCTGACCACCAGACCCTCTCTCTGGTCCAGAATGTGTTTCTCACCTGTAATACTTGTGTTACTTAAAAGCCCTGTAAAATCAACAACCAAGGAAAGCAGGTGGCAAAGCATTGAGCAGCTCCAGAGTTCCAGGCCCCATTCCTCTCCGACTATGAAGCCCGCCCAGTCCACGGTCAGCCCGAGCGGAAGAGCTGGCTCCAATGCTGGCTAGTGCACATCACTCACTGCCTGCAGTTCTCTGTGATTTTAGAGGAAATGATAGAACTGCTTGCAAAGGCACGCTGTGCTTCTGTCTGCGCTTAGCTGACAGGAAGCAGTGAGGTTGTGGCAGGAAGAGGTGGCTTAGATGTGGTGGCTTAGATGTGGTGGCAGCACACCCTCAGAGCTGGCTTAGCACCTTGACGGTGGGTACAGATGATTTGGGGATCACCAGGCTGCTGGCTCGCTCCACTGAGGACTTCCTGCAGGAGTTCTCTCGAGACCTCCCGCCACGGTTCTCCAAATGTAAAAACACAATAAAGGATTTTTAGAATTCTCCTCTTTCCCTTCTTGCTTTTTATGCACAGCTTGGAATTGGGGTTGGCTTACCCTTAATGTTTTAATCTTTACTAATCATAAAGACATCAAGTTTTTGTTGTTTTTTCTTCAAGACCAGTTTTTCTGCCCTGGCTATGCTCGAACTCAATCTGTAGACCAGGCTGGCCTGGAGCTCAGAGATCTGCCTGCCTCTGCCTCTCTGCCCCCTGCCTCTGCCTTGAGTGCTGGGGTTAAAGGTATGGGCCACCATCAGCCAGCAAGACATCAAAGTTTATTATCATAAGTAAAGCACCGGAGTTTCTTTGACAGCAGTAATCTAGCTTGCTTTTCTATCTTCTTTTATTAGTTTGGTTTTTCGTAAATCTCTTCCCTTTGCTCTTACAGGAATTCCCTATAGTGAACACAGCAGCTATTTAGAAATGAAACGTTTTGTCCAGTGGCTGAAGCCACAGAAAATCATACCCACTGTAAATGTCGGCACCTTTAAGTCAAGGAGCACAATGGAGAAATACTTTAAAGAGTGGAGGTTGGAAGCTGGATACTGAACCTGCCACAGAAGTCAGCTGAGTCGTGCACAGCAAGTGTTAGCAGTCCAGCCTAAGCAGGCATGAGTATGTGCCATGAAAACAGTCTCAGGACTGTTTCTCATTTGTCCTTGAATAATAATACACCCAAGGAAATGGATGCCCCTCAGAATCCTCAGTGACAGCTGAGAGTGGGCCTTCCCAGTTCCTTTAATTCTTAATCGCTTTTTCCACGGAGGCAATAGTAATTTGCAGCAACATGAGGGCTGGAAACCAAAACAATTCATGTTAATGGATACTAGAACAAAACATTATCTATGTAATTATGAAATAAATCTTTTATATGATATATATTCTTCAATAAAAATTAGTATGGAATTTATTGTAGCATCTTTTGGTGAGTTTTGTTCCTGTTTTATTTTCTTTTTAGTAGACTTTATTTTTTAGAACAATTTTATATTCACTGCAAAACTGAATAGAAAGTACAGTTCCGTCTGCATCAAGCCCCATACTGATTATAGCCTCTCCCGTTTTAGCATCCTCTCCCAAAATGGTACACACACGAACACTGCTGAATATACGTTGGCTCTGTAACCATCATCCACAGCTTGCACTAGATCCACTGTTAGTGGTGCACATCCTATGGGCTTTGACACATATGTAACACATCATCCTTAGGGTGTCATACAAAAGTTTCACTGCCTGAAATACGCGCTGTGTGCCTGTGCTCATGCATCACTCCCATGGCCTCTGGCATCCAGCAGTCAGTGAGCTTTGTTGTCTCTATTTTCTCGTTTCTAACACGGCACAGAGTTGGGGTCGCGTGGTAGACAGCCTCACCCAGTCGCTTGGACAGAAGGCCACTTGTTGGGGTGGTTCTGCTGCTTTATTTTCATGCTAATTACTGGCTCTCAGATCTCGTTACACCTGTCCTTATTTAGTAAACCGAACAGTTAGGCATGCCTTTTCCTGGGTGGTCTGATAGCTCATTTGTGAAGTGCTGAATTCTGCTCCAGTGTTAGGCATAGCGCTCTCTCCCCTTACCTGCTGCAGGGCATCTCAGTAGTGACCAGATGTTCACAAGGACAACGGTGTTGTATGCATCCGTCTGTGAGCTTCTCTAGGAAAAGCTTTAAGCTCCTTTGGGTGAATAGCAAGGGTTGAAATTGTTAGGTCATGTGGTAAGAGTTAAATTTTTTAAATTTTATTTTATTTTTTTAAACATAAGGTCTGACTATGTAGCCCTGACTGGCCTAGAGCTCACAAAGTCCTGCCTGCCTCAGCTCCCAAGTGTTAAGAATAAAGGCATTTGCAACCTTTCTTTTTGCTAAAAGGTTTAATTTTATAAGAAGCTGCTAAACTCTTGAAAATTGTCAAAATGAAACTTAATTTTTTGCATGCTGATTAAAAATGAAAATTAAAAGACAAGGAAATGGCCAAGCTGTCGCCGGCTCACTTCCGTGGCAGCTCGTGAGTGCTTCTGTTGGCCCAGTTGCAGCAGCACCGCGTGTTCTAGGTTCGGGGCTTTCTGAAGGGCAGGGAGTGCTATCTCCTGGCTTGCGTCCCCCAGGGACGTCCAGTGTAGAAAACTTCCGTTTGCCTTCTGCCGCTCATATTCCCTGTTGAGGTGTCTGTTAGGTCTTTGCTTGCTTAATTTTTAAGTTAGGCCATTTGTTTCTTTAGTGTTAATTTGTGTAAGTTGTATATTTTGTATAAAGGTTCTTTTCATGAACATCATTTGTATCTAACATGGTTTTAATTTTAATGGACGCATAGCTTCTCATTTATCCCTTTTGTGGGTCATGCTTTTGGTGTTATACTTAAATCAAGGTCATATTTTTCAGGAGTTTTATTTTATTTTGCATCTCATGTTTATATATGTGACCCATTTCCAATTAGTATGTATAAAGACCCGTTTGTTAGTATGTGTAAAACAATTAGTATGTATAAAACAATTTGTTTTGTTTTTAATGTGGATACACGATGACTCCAAGCCACTTGTCGCGAAGATAATCTCTCCATCCATCCTGCTGGTTTTGCACCACAGTTAAAGATATATTCTGTTCCATTGATTTGTCTTTCTTTCTTTAGTGTCTTGATGACAATAGTTTATAATCAGTCTTGAAGTTGGGCAATGTCAGTGCTCCAACTTGGTTCTCCTTCAGTACTGGTCACTTTCCTTGGATTTCTGTCTTTTCGTTTAAACTTTAGAAACATTTCCTGAGTATTCTCAAAATCACTTGTTAGGGTTTGGGTTAGGGTCTGGGTGGTTCTGAGCACACACATCAGGCTGTAAAGCACCAACCCCTTGACAGTGTTCTGTGTTTGTCCATCTAAAACTTATATACACTTCATTAGGTTCACGCCAAGGTAAGATAAATGAGTGTGTAAAAGCGCAATGGATGTGTGTAGATGTGCACATGTGAAGCCAAAGGTCACCCTGCAGTGTTGTTCCCTCAGGTGCCTTCCATCTTTTGTTCAGGACAAAGTCTCATTGTCTAGGGACAGTGCAATGCAGACCAGGACAGCTGGCCCTCAAGTCTCCAGCGACATACCAGTACCTGCCTCCTCCTCACCATCTCTGCACCACAGGCTATACCACACCTGGCTTTCCACATGGCTTGTAGGGATCCAACCTCGGGCCTTCATGCTTTCTGGGCAAACACTTCACCAAATAAGCCATTGTGCTGATTAGTTTTATGTCAACTTGACACAAGCTAGAATCATCAGACAGGAGGGAGCCTCAATTTCAAAAATGTTCCATAAGATCTAGCTGTAGGCAGGCTTGTAGGGCATTTTCTTAATTAGTGGGGTAGAGGCCATCCCTGGTCTGGCGGTCCTGGGTTCTATAAGAAAGCAAACTGAACCAACCATTGGTAGCAAGCCAATAAGCAGCACCCTCCAAGGCTTCTGTGTCAGCTTCTGCTCCAGGTTCCTGCCCTGTCTGAGTCTCTGTCCCAACTGCCTTCCATGATCGTAAGCCAAATAAACCCTTTCCTCCTCAAGCTGCTTTTGCTCATGCTGCTTCATCATGGCAATACTGACCCTGGCTAAGATAGCCCAACTTTACCTACTCCAACTTCTGTGAACAGCAATAGTTTTATTTCTCCATTTCTAGTCTCTGTATTTTATTTCCTGTAAGAGCTGGGATTCCCAGTACATGATAAAATAGAATGGTAAGTGAAGAAGTCTGTTTCTTTCTCCTGAAATCTATGGGAAGTGTTACACTTTCTTGCCATTAAATACGGTGTTAGCTGAAAGGTTTGGTAGGATATTTTGTTGTTCTTTAATCAGATTAATAAAGTTACTTTCCTCATTTATTAAAGATTTTTTTTATCATGAGTGGGCATTGGATTTTTATCAAGTGCTCTTCTGAATCTATTGATAAGTTCCTGTGATTTTTTAAATTAATTTATTAAATTATTTTACATCCTGATTACAGTTCCCCTCCTCCTCTTAGTTCCTCCCATGCTGTGTTTGTTTGTTATTTTAACTTCAGCTTAATAGGATAGGCTACATTAATTGATTTTGAGGTCAGCTTCATATAACTGGCTAAATGCTGCTTGCTTTCAGTCTAATTCCTCAAACATTGTTGAATCCACCATGTTTGCAGAGGTTTTCCACATCTATATTCATTAGAGATATTGGTCTGTAACTTTTCCATAAAAACCATTGTATGGTTTTGGTAATAGTTTATGCTGGACTTTTTAACTGAGTCAGGAAACTCCTGCCTGTCCTCCAGAAGAGACCACAGAGAACAGCTGCTGTTTCCTGCTCAGGACTGAGCACCTGTGTGTCTGAAGCTTTTCGTCTTAGGAAGTGTCACCATCTGTTAAAGTTCTGTGGTAGATCCAGCCCCACCACATTGCCTGGGTCCTCTGCATTTTGACAGACTGTGTCACTCCAGGGACTGGTCTGCTGTATCTAAAGGACCTAGTTTCTTTTGGCTCTCAGGATCTCCAACTGTGATGCTCATACACTTATAAAGAATAGCACCTAAAGCAAGTCCACAGTTACCTTTAGTAAGACGATTCAAAAAACTATGTAATCACCCATAAGGGAAGTTTGTAGCAGTGGTGTTCAGCTGAACCGTCGAGTACATTTGAATGGCAGTGTAATTGTTTTGTAAAGTGAGGTCATGTGATTTATTTATGAGTGTATATCTCTATAGCATCATTTGAGTGCTTAACCCAGTGTAGAAATTTCATGTTCATGCATATTAAAAATGCCTTTATGAGGTCTAAGAACATGTTAGTACCATATATTTACAGATGTAGATTCTTGCATAAACTCTATCAGTGAACTTAATTGGGGTGTTTCTTAATAAATATTCATCATGAGAAGGATACTGGTCATGCACCTCATTTGTATAAGGTTGGCTTTTACTTTATTGTGGAGCTAAAAGGTCTGGGCTGGACAGGGCGGACGCAGGTTGCAGTGGGGTGATCTAACTATATTCTCAGTTGACTGAGTTTAAAGTACTTTATTGTTTTGAAGTTTTAAACTTCTTAAAGTTACTAATTAAGGGTTATAATTAGAAAAACTTCACATCTATAGGCATTCTTAACTTGGGGGCATGGTTAAGTCATTTAGAGTCATTTTATTAACTGCCTTTTCCTAGAGTTGTCTTTCTCCCTTTCCAGAGCTACAGCCTGAACCAGGGCCTGTCATCTCCAGCCCTTTATTTTAAGGTGATGTTTCCATTCTTTTGAACAGTTTACTTCTAAAATTGGGTGTGCGTTCGTTTCATGAGCACACCCGGCCTGCGGTGCTCTGCTGTGCTCATGCAGGCAGCGCTCTTCGACAGCTTGGCATGCTGTGGTTTGCTGCTGTTGTTACAAAATGCTCACTCACTCAGGAGTGACATCAGATGGGTCTACACATAGACCACAGCTCCGCCGAACTCTCCTAGGCTCTGATGGGCACAGGGAGCTCTAATGGTTTTGGTTTGCGGTTTTGGTTTTCTTTTGCAGCACTGTGGATTCAGCCTAGGTCTTTGAAGATGCTAAACAAGTGATGTGCTATGGGGCTACAGTCTCAACCGCTGTGTTTTCTCATTCTGAGAAGCAGTGCTGGGTGCTCCCCGGGCTGACCTTGAGTTCACTGTGCATCCAGGCCTCAAGCTGAGAGCCTCCTGCCAGTGCTGCTTGAGCAGCTGGGGTTGCAGGACAAGCCACCGTTTGTGGCTCTCAGAGTCTTGTCTGATCTGCAATACTTTGGTAAAGTAAAAGGAAAGAAGAAATCCACCACCGCTCAGAAGAGGCGAGTGGCAGCTCCCGATGTCCGACGTTCGGGGAAAAGGCTGAGAGGGAGGAGCCCGTTGGAGCCCACCTAGAGGGAAGTGTTCTTTGAATTGGCTTGGACTCCTTGGACAGCTCCTTCATAGC